TTACAGTAATTACAACCAGATTCAAAGTAGTTGGATCAGAAGTAGACTGATTTCTTACAGTAGAAGTAGATGGAATAGAAGTAGAGGTAGTAGAATATAATTATTTTCCGAGGTAGAAAATGCAATAAAAGTAGAAGGCACATGGAGAGGCTTCACAAGGGCTACATGCACATGCTCAGCGTCCTTGTGTCTGCGCACCGATTTGCAAAATTTGTTTGCACTCAAAAGAGTCACTGGGGACTCGCGCGTCTCGTCCAATGGAACGGTACGCTCGTTCCCCTCTGCATCACGCACCACGAACTGAGTATCCGCCCATGTGGTCCTTAGACAATGAGCCTTTAACCAGCCCAAGCTAATAACCGCGTCGAAAGGACACTTGTCTAGGATGTAGAAGTTCAGCTCATGTGTGACAATGCGATCCTTATCAAAGGTGACGCGCACACCGTTGACATCATGTGTTGAGGTGACAACCTCTTGGTTGCCTACCTTGGTCTAACAAGGGTTCTGCAATTCCACTTGCTTCATTCCCAGGCCTGCCTTACGAATCCCGTTACGAGAAAATAAATTAGTCGTTGAGCCATTATCAATCAACACGTGGATATATCGACGGTTAACGAGCAGCTTAAAGAAGATCAGTTCCACACTCCCTTGAACACGGCGTTGCTGCTTGAGCAGCTTAATGTTCGAGGTGAGAGTGGAAGTTGACTTCCTTAGTCTCCTCCCAAGGCTCAGTGTAAAGTACTTCCTGCCCCAGCCTTGGTTTCAACATCAGTCCAAGCTTCAAGTGCAGGCTGTTGATCAGATTCAGGGGCCACTTCGATCTGATGATGTCCCGACTTCAAGCCTATGATAGGAAAAATACTTAGAAAAATACTTATAATCATAGTTGCGGTGCACCTAGGTGAGTGGACTTGCACACGCGAAGTGCACCAGAAAAATTAAGGTAAAAAAAAAAAAAGGTAGGGGTCTCGTAATTTCCTACGGCACCCAACCCGGCAAAAATGTTCAACTCGCCGTGCGAGTTCGAAAATCGTCCGCCCCCTTGGCCCAAACTTTTTTGTTTGGGCAAGGGCTGCCGAATTTTGAATTTCGGAAGCCCCTCCCCCCAAAAATTCAAGATTGTAGATCACGAAAATAGGGATCATTCAGCCTCATTCCAGTTTTCTTCTTTAGGCCGGGTGTGGTAACTGGCCTTCCCCCTCCCTTCTGCAAATCCAACACAGCGGTGGACGAATTTGCAAGAAGGGTACAATTGCCCAATAATGGCCTTCCCCACACTGTCTAGCAGAAGTAACAATATATGTTTGGTGAGGCCAGTCGACCACCAATATATGCTGAAGATTGGCATTCATGTTACGGACTTCGTCAGGGCTCGATCCCTTTTTCGGCCTGGCACCCTTTTTGCTGTTTCAACTGCATCCCGTTTTCGGCCTGGCACCCTTTTTCCAAACCCCTCCTTTGGTACCGTAGGATTTTGGACAACTGGCGCCACCCTGCAATTCGGGCGCCACTTTCAAATACTGCATTTTTCAGTCCTGCCCTCGGGGCCTTTGCAGAAATGCCCCTAGTACCGTACGTGTCACCGGTACTTGTACCGGCTCCCCGTACGGTACGGAGACCAGTCTCGTACCAGTTCTCTGCTGCTGTACTTGTACTCAGTGTGACTTGCTGTTTTCGACATTTGGGAATCCAAGACTTCGACTTTGTGCCTTGCCACTGTGTCTGCGTCCGATCCTCAGTCCGAGTCCGTCGTGTCGAGTGAGTGAGTGTGTGTGTGTGCTCTCACTCTCCCCCTCTCTCTCCTCTCCCTCGGCTCACCCTCARCCTCACGCTCGTTACACTGGTATCGGAGCGGTTCGCTCCTCCATCGCCGCCGTGACCTTCGACGTCGCCGCCACGTGATCAACATCGTCGCCATCATCCTCGACGCTGCCACGTCATCGCCATCGTCGTGCCACGACAGCATCATAGATGACGCGCCACGTCATCGTTGCCACGCTCCTCGTCGCTGCCCTGATCCTCGTTGCCGCCGTTGCCAGGTAAGCAACAAAATTATATTTTTTATTTATTTTTACTTATTTCTCTTCCTTCTTCTTCTCATCTTCTTCTTCTTCCTTTCCATTCTTCTTCACCCTCCCTAAGTTTTTTCTTTCCCTTTCAAACCGAAATCATTTCCCATTCGAAATCGATTTCAAATCGACATCGAAATCGATTCTAAATCGACATCGAAATCGATCGAAATCGAAATTGAAATCGATTTCCCATCCCGTCCCGCGCCTTTTCTTCTCCCCCGGATTCCCGAAGTTTCCCCCCATCGCGCACATTCCCCAATCCTTCACCACCCC